TTTATTATATATTATATTTTTAAGTATAAACAGATATTTTAATAAATATATTTGACCATATTATATATATATATATATAATACAATATTATGAGTATCTTATTTTTCTATGAAAACGTATACATATTTAATATAATACCAATAAAAACATATATAGGCAGACTTTTTATATAAAGATCTTAATAAACTATTACGAACGCCAGCGTATATTATACATCTTACTGTTACTATTATTTCATGCTACACAAAAGAACGTTGTGTATTATTACTATAGCTGAGAGGTCTATATAATATTTGATTATATATATATATATATATATACATGTATGTAATACTAGAGCTTGACACCTACCTCATTTTGTATATTTTTAAAAATCGTATTTTCTATATGATAATCACATTTTTTTTTAAATTCTTAATATTTCTTCAAGTACTTTTACTGAAAAACTTTTATATTTATAACAATTTATCTTTTCTATCTCAATAAAAAGTTTTTTAGATTTTCAAGCTGTAAACACTCGCAGAAAATTTATTAACACCAGGGTTCGAGAAGTTTAAAGAAACATCAAAAGCATTCGTACCCAGAGATATGAATCTCGTCACACGTAAGGTTGTATACCCTTACGAATTTACCGATAGTTGGGAAAAGTTAGAAGAAACAATTTTACCTCGAAAAGAAGATTTTTACAGTTCACTGCACGAATCACATATAGACGATGAGGAATACGAACACGCAGTCACAGTATGGAACCATTTCAAATGCAAAACCCTAGGAGAATATAGTGATTTATATCTAAAAATTGACGTGCTGCTGTTATCTGATGTAGTAGAATAAAATAAACGAAGAAGCCGGTGCCAAGTTGGGCGCCATATGTAGTAGAATAAAATAAACGAAGTGGATGGAAGTCGGGGAAATATGCAGTGGCGGCAAACTATAAAGGGTGTGAATGATTGGAGTGTTGCGCTTATCGTAAATTTTATCTCACTACAGAATATTTTTATTTGAATACCGAAATAATAATTTGTTCTTAATTATGTAGTATATGTGTTTTCACTTACCTTGTATTATCGTGAATAAAAATGTGTAGACTCTCATTGGAATATTGATTGGAGTACCGTATCTAATTGGTGTGAGTCGATGCACGTTATTTATACTTTACGATTTACACTACAATATCCTATTGCAATTAAGTATTCATTTCTATATTACACACTGTTGGTTCCTTACGATTGTGATAGAATGGAGTTTGTAAGGATATCTTTTGATGGGAGATGATGATATTATGAAGATTGTTTTATATTTTTATAACATCCATTTCAACTACCTATATATTTGAGGTTTTAGTCGCTTAAGAGGAAGGTACTTACAGCACAGCGCATAAGTCTGCCTGGTTCCTTGCTCGAGACTTAAACTGCTAATATACTTTGGCAACCCAATGTCTAGTAGTGACAATAAATTGACAAACGGTAATTGAGATGAAATTTATTTAGATACTTTATGAGTTAAAATGCATTTCATGTATGGTACAATTGATTTAAATCTAATATTCTTATGGATATAGGACTCGGATACTAGTATGTGGATGGATGTCTTCCCTACACAACTTAAAATTACTGAAGGATTGTTAGGATTATAAAAATTGAAATAACAATGTTGTTATGGTAAAATAGCAAAGTGAATATACCAAAAGTGAGCTCATACCTGGTTTCAAAAACAAACGCAATAGTAAGTTAACTTTGTAGAGAGAGATTAATTTTGTGTCAAAAGAGAAATTGGTTGATCTTGTATGGATTGGTCCGCGGCCGCCATCAGCGTGGTCCTCTGTGTTGAATTGACGTGTGGCGTGGAGTGTACTGCTACTGGTGTACCACTGTTCTGGTGTGAGTGCTTTTGTTGTTTGTGCGTGGCGTTTATATAAGGAAGCGATTGTCTTATCCCCACTCTATTGTTATTACGTAACGTTACAATAGATTATTCGTCTTTGTTATGTGAATTGCGCATGTGCGCGTATTCATGTCGTGTTTTCGCATAATGTCGTTGGGTTTTTCGCAATTTTTATATGATAAAAGTGTTAACTACATTGAGTGTTATCTTATGATTGTTTTTGCTCATAATATTAGCAGTGATTTCAGTTTGTTTGACCAAATATCGTATGGTGCGCATGCATGCACATTTTATGTCATTTTTGTACATTGTCGTTACTTTTTGGCTATATTGTTATAAGTAGGGTGTTTTGTATGTTGTGTGCTGTTTTATTATTCTTTTCGAGCATAGTTTCTGCAGTGACATCTGGTTATTTGACCGAATGTGGTGTGGTGCGCATGTGCTCACGTTTTATGTCGTTTTTGCACATTGTTGTTGATTTTTGGCGATATCAGTATGAGAAGGTTGTTTCGTATACTGTGTCTTGTTTTAATGTTGTTTTTGCGCATAGTTTTGGTAGTGACATCTGTTTATTTGATCGAATGTCGTACAGTGCTCATACATGTACATTTAAATTATATTTTTGCACTTTGTCGTTAGTGTTTCTGCAATGTTAATATGAGAAAAGTAATTCGTATGTTAAATGCTATCGTATTTGTCTTGTTGCGCATAGTCTTGGTATCGACATTTGGTTGTTTCACCAAATGTTGTATAGTGCGCATATGTGCATATTTAAGTTGAGTTTTGCACACCGGAAGTGTTTCTGTGGTGTAAGTTGTATGAGCTTATTATGTTGATGAATAAAATATTTGGTATTATGATTTCGTAAGTTAGTGCTATTACGAATTTTGATGAGGTGTTATCTTTTGATTTTGCGTTATGATATATTGTTGCTATTTTGTTATTTTCCCTTCGTGCAGTGCCGCATTAAGCCAAATTGCCGCCCCGGGGAAATATAAAATTTGCCGCCTCTATATATTTAAAAAAATATCATATGATTTTCACCTCTCTTTTTTCGCTATCATAAACACAGCAGAATTATATTTTAATACGTTTCTCCGTTAGTTTTAAAATATTAAAGAGTTACCTAGTAAGTACTTAGTAACCTATACAATGAATTTATACTTAATTTTTCTTTTTAAACATATTATTTATTAAATATTCATAATACAATTAATTAGAATTATAATTAAAAATTAAAAATAGTAAATTAAAATACATTTTTATTCAACTAATTTAATTTTTTTCTTGATTTCAAAACTGCAAATTTATGTATTATGTACGACCAATCAATCTGTTAAAATATCGCTTTCTATATTTAATATGGATAATGATGACATCTTTTCATCAACTAAAGCAGATCTTAGATAATTTTTATTCTTTTTAATACAGAAAATGACCGTTCTCCACTTGCATTGAATGAAGCCATACAACAAAATATTCGCAATATTATTTCTTGTGCATAACCATTACACATTGCTTTACATACATCGTACCTGGATGACCAACGAGTTGAACATAGTTTTTTTATTTTGACACAATCTGGATTATTTTCGATAATATTAGTCAAAATATTCCACCTGAATGTTGAAACAGAAAAGAAATTATAGATTGCTTGACATATAAAAAAAATTGTGTGCCTTCTTGAGTTGTATCTGCAGCATTGGAACCAATTAAATTCAAAGAATGTGCTGAACATGACACAAAAAAGGCTGTCGACGAATAGTTTTTAAACCTGCAAACAGGTGACAGCTCTTCGATGTGATTGAGTCACTCGCCGAAAATTAAAAGCTATAAATAACACAGACACACCATTGTGATGCATTTAGTTATTATTGAATCGTTGATAGATAAAATTATTATTGGTATTAATATTTTTAATATAATAATAATAATTTTAAAAATTTAATACGAAATTCGTAACGTAGAACGTATAATATTATAATATGATATACCTATTTTCTAAAAATCTGCCGCCCCGGGACAATTGCCCCCCCTTGCCCCCCGTTAAATGCGGCTCTGCCTTCGTGTAATTTTTAGTAGTGATATTTCGTCGCTTAGGTGCTTGAGTGAGTAACATACTTTGATCATATGTCATTGTGGGTTTTTTGTAATTTTTGTATGGAGTATTTGTTTCAATATTTTGTGTGTTCATGTGTGTTTAATGTCCTTTTTCATTTGTGTAAAGTTTTAGCGACAGTTTTTGGCATTCAATTAATTTTTGTATTTGTGCGCATGCGTCGGTGTTCGTATAGTATGGAATTTTCGGTTACGTAATGATGTACGTGTGTTGCGTAATGTTTTATTATCTTGTTGTTTCTTTATAACCATATATGGGCATGTTTTTTTAGTGTGTGTACGTCTCGGAAATATTGTTATATAATCTTTAAGGAATGTTGGTTGCCTAATATTTCTTGGTATTGCGTAATATGTTTTAATTGCGTTTGTGTTTTTACACCCAAGTATGAACCTACCTGATATATTCATTTTACAAGTTTATTTAAATATAAGATGTATTATTCATATATTACAAATTGCACGGAGGTTCTTTTTTCACCGTGTCCCCACGGTGTATTTACAATTACTTATTTAAGGTTTGGTTAATTATACAAATGACAAAGTTTTATATACGTATATAATGCAAAAGTTGGGTGCGATGTGATTTTACATTGTGTTCGTGGAGAATTTTTATATAAACTAAAGAAAAATGGTTTGATCTGTTGAAATAATTTGTTGTGTTATCGATTATACATAGTTCGTATTTGTTAGTATATTAAGATTGTACAGGATGGTTATGTGGATAATTGTTGTGATATTTTGTGTTGTCGGTTATATAGAAGAGGCTTTAGAATTTGTTAGTGGTTGTGTATTATAAAGAATGTGTTATAAATAATTTGGGTGTTAATGATTTTTGTTATTTTCTGAATTTCGATATGTTTCGTAAAAATGGGTGTTTATTGGCATGTTTGTATTATTAAATTATGAATGGTAGAATTTTGGGTGAGTCTATGTGGTGGGGTGTATGCTATATATGGCTTTATTGAAGGCACGTCACCTGCGTCTTTTGGTATTTTTACTTACGTAGTGTTCGTTCCTTGTTTTGTGATATTTTGTGGAATGGGTTGGGTGTGGTATCGTCGGTGTTGGTGCCATGGCTGTGATTGTGGGCGGGATTTGAGTGGTGGCCTCGTCTGTAGTGGCGGCTGTTGTGGATTGGATTTCATTGAATTGTATTGTCCTGGGTGGCGGTGTGGCGGATTGAATCGTATTGAACGGTGTTGTCCTGGGTGGCGGTGTAGTGAATTGCATTGTATTGGTGTATTGGACATGATGCTCTGATACTGTTGTAATCTTATTTGTGGTATGTCCTTTTCTGCGAAACAGATTGGTTCGACGAGTGCCACGCACATGGCTATGGCTAGAATCCATGGCCCACAGTCGTCGTTGTTGTACTGTGTTGGTGTGGTTCCATGTTATGTCCACCAAGCCGAAAGCTGGACACTCGAATGTTTTTCCCAATCTTTCAAGAATGTTTTGATTCTTGATAATATGTGTTGGTGGTTCCTATGTTTGCCATCATAGCAAACCACCATTTTGCTTTTAAGGAATACCACAATCATGATCCAGTGATTTCCCACGTTGATGGGAAACAATAGCGAGTCCATGTCCAGGATGGGTTTTTTGACCCATCTTACCTTTAAGTCCTTCGCAGTATTTTTTTAAAAAGTCTACACTAAAGAAATGAGATGTTGGATTTTCATTGGTTAGTATAGTTAGGTAGTCTTCAATTATGGAGGAGTTGTACCAGTACTTGAAGAATTTGTTCGTGTATCCTGCCATGGTTTTGTCTGTTGTATATTTCGTAGATTGTCTCAGTAGACTGAAGTGGGTTAGTTTTTATTTTTCGGTGGTCCATGTATCTCGTATGGATTTGGATATCGACTTTTTGGAGTAGGGGTGTATTTTGATATACTTTGTGAGTAATGTTTTAAGATATTGAGATAATGTTAGGTGGGTGTTGGGTTTATGTTTTATCAAATTGCGTCTTGCTGTTAGCCCATCTGGTGGTCATAATATTTCGAATGTATATGTGATCAGAGGTCGGGGGTGAAGGTAGGTCATGTTTGTTTTGTATTTATTATTATTATTTATTTATTACGGGCAGTGAGCCCAATATAATGCACAGAAATATATAAATTTAACCTAAGTGGGTGTTACAGTTACCCAACCAACTTTACAAATAGAAATTTTATGGATACAATAGTAATAATACAAACACAAGATATAATATACAGTGACAAATACATTTACATTATTTTTTTTTTTTTTTTTTTTTTTTTTTTAGGTACATGATAGTAATAATACAACACCTACTGATATCTAATAAACAAGTGAGGGTGCTCATTGCCAAGGCGCATCATCCTGTCAATTGGTTGGTTTCTGCCGTAATTGGTCGTGTGTGGAGTAATAGCGAAGGGAGCGGATGACCTAGTTTGACGGGAAGGAACTTTAAAACCAACTTGTGCGAGTAGGGAAGGAGCATCAATAGATCCATCAATTAGTTTGTGTAAAAAGAGTAAGTTAGCCTCAACTCTTCTGTCGGCTAAAGAGACAAGACCTAGTTTTTGCATGACTGGTAGGTAGTCGTGAGGTGGATGGTTAATTTTCAGAATAAACGCTGATGAGCTTAAAAATCTTCTCTGGACACGTTCTATAAGAGATGAATCCACTGCCGTGCAGGGGTCCCATAGTACTGAGGCGTACTCAAGAAGGGATCTAACAAGGGAACAGTAAATAGACTTGAGTGAAGCAGACAATTTAAACTCTTTAGATAATCGTAGCACAAAACCAAGTGTCTTTAGAGATTTACAGCACATTGCTTCGATATGAGAGTGAAAGCTCAGTTTAGGACAGAGTATAACACCTAAATCTTTTTTCATAGATACCGATTCAACGATTGAATTATTGATGATATATGTATATTTGATAATAGACCTACTTCTAGAGAATGACATACTGTGACATTTATCTGTATTGAACTGTAGTCCAATAGAATTGAACCAGGAAACCATGGAATTTAGGTTACTTTGTAAAGAGTCACAGTCACTTAATGTGTCAACACGACTAAAGATTTTAAGGTCATCTGCAAACATAAGGAACTTGGCGGAGGGTATCACATTTTTTAGGCCATTAATAAATAGTGAAAAAATAATAGGGGACAAGTGGCCTCCTTGAGGAACACCCGAGGGAATTTCGATCGCTTTGGATGTATGTCCAAAAACTTTGACCCATTGGACTCTGCCTGTTAGGTACGATTTAAGCCATGAAAGAATAGGCTCACCAAATCCCGACTTGTACAGAACATCCATGAGAGTTTGGTGATCGACTCTGTCGAAAGCTTTAGCAAAGTCCGTGAATATGACGTCAACCTGAGAGTGCTGCTCGAAAGCTTTAAAGATGTAGTTGTTAAGTACAATTAAGTTCGATACAGACGAGCGGCCAGGTCTGAAGCCATATTGTTCGTCAATTAATATATTGTTAACCGATGGTTGAATATTCCGTAGCACCAGTAGCTCAAACAACTTGGCAATATGACTTAAGATTGAAATAGGTCTATAATTTTTCACATCAGACTTATCCCCTGATTTGAATATTGGGGTTACAGAGCTCATCTTCAGAATTTTTGGAAAGACACCCAAATCCATAGAACGCCTAAATATCAACCATAGAGGATAGCATAAGGCCGACTTGATGTTGAACAAAAAAGTACCAGATAAGCCATCAGGTCCGGTAGATTTAACGTTTTTTAAAGCAGAGAGACCAACATCAACATCATCGACAGAGAATATGCAGTCACTAGGTAAATTAAAATGGGAAAAAGGAGTGCCAGGGTCGTAATGATTATGGACATTTTGTAGATAGACTGACTTGAAGTACGATGAGAAGATATGGGGAATCGACTCAGGCCCAGAACTAGTTGTATCGTTGTAGAAGACTGAATTAGGGATTCCACTGCCAGATTTATGTTTGCGTACGAAGTCCCAAAAGGAACGTGGATTTTTGTTTAGTTGCTTTTCAGTGCGAGACAAAAATTCACTATGGCATTTTTTGTACTCAATCTTATATTGCGCCCGAAGAGTAGAAAATTCAGAGTAGTCACGAGGACACTGGGTTGATTTATACTTCGCATGCTTCTTTCTTTTTTCCCAAACAATAGACTTTAGATCTCTAGAAAACCAACTAGGAAATCTTGAAGGTTTGTACTTGACTTCAGGAACGAAATTTAAGACACAATAGTGTAAGGCGTCATAAAGTGCGTGTGTTGCTGAGTCAATATCAAGTGAAGTAATGGTTAGAAGCCAATTAAATGAATTCAAAAATGAGCAAATCTGCGTATAACAACCTTTACTGAAATCGAAGAAGTTATGCGTGTTATCAATAGATGGCAGTTCATGGTCGAAAGTGAAAATTAAGTCCAAAGCTGGATGGTAAGGATCGCTTGGTACAACCGCAGTATCAGATTTTGTAATACACGTGTTAGGGTTATTAGAGAATACTAGATCAAGGATATTACCTGAAGAGTTAGGTACACTATTTAATTGAAAAAAGTTGTGAAATGCAAATATTTCGGGCACGCAATGTATTCTTGTACCTGAGACAGAAGAGTAAGAAAGCCCATAGTTGTCGTTAGACCAGCTTATGTTTGGAAGATTAAAATCGCCACAAAATAAGAATACACAATCGGAGTGGGTAGAGATTATAATTTGGACAGCTGACATAAAGGACTCATAGATATGGATAGGACTGTTTGGAGGGATGTAAACGGAGCAAACAATAAATGCAACATTATTGGTTGAGAATTTCACAAATACATGTTCAACATTGAAAACTGATGTGGGCAATAACTCACATAAGATGTCATTACGAATGGCAATGAGCACACCACCACCCCGGCGACAATAACTAGTTAAATTATTTCTATCACATCGAAAAATAAAATAGTTTGACAAACCTAATTCATTATCATAAAAACTATCGGTGAGCCATGTCTCGGTTAAACAAACAAAAATATAATTAAAAACGGAAACATTACATCTAAATAAATCTAGTTTAGATCTAAGACCTCTACAATTTTGGTAAAAGCCAAGGAGTACATTAGAGCTTAAATTTTCTATAAGTTTTTTGGAGCTGAGTTCAGCGACATACCTGGTTGCAAACGTCCCCAGAAGCGCTTCACAATGACACCTTCAGGCCAAAATGAAGGTTCCAGTACTTCATTTAGGTTTTGAAGTGGCAATTGGATATGGAAGGAGGCGTATGTAGGGTGTTTGGTCGTAAGTTGCGTGATAGTGATGTCATCCAATGTAGGGAACAGTTCAGTTTTAAGCATCTCAGTGGTAACATGCGGATCTAGTCTTGAGACGAATATATCCGAGTGTTTACGGATAGGTGCGGCAGAAATCTTCGTGGGTTTTTGATTACCAGATCCGATAATAAACTTAGTAGATTCCGTTGGTAATGGTCGTTTTGCAGCTGAGATCTTACTCCCAGATGTTGGTTGGGTCGCTTGCATAGTAACTATTGGAGGTCTGGGCTTATGTTGTATGTTGGGCATTTGTTGAAATGGTTTTTATTATTGTTGTTATAATATTCTGTTTTTTTTGAATAAATAGATGGAATTATATGTTTTGGGATAAATGGATGATTTAAATACTGATGTATGTATTATTTTGAAATTTAGGTAATTTGTTTGTTCTAATTTGTAATTGTTTGGTTGTGTGTTTGTTGTAATATAGAATAATATGTTGTATCTTGCTAGTCCTTCTAATTCTATTTTGGGTATATAAGTTTAATGAAAAATGTGCCTTAATGGCCAATTGCAACTTGATGGTTGCTTTTACTATGTGAATTGTTACCTTAATAGCTAGGCTTGATTGAATTGATTAATTTATATAAGTGTGATTTCACTTGTGTTACTAAATTTCTATAAAGGATAATGCTAGTTTTTACTTAATTTTATTGAGGATTACTATGGAACCCCATGTTATATATATGTGAAGTTAATTTATGATAATATAAGTAATGTTTTTAGTTGACTTCTAATAAGCAGTGTGGATTAACTTATTGCGTTATTTAAGACTAAATATATATATATTTATTATTAGGTTGATTCATAAATTTAAAATTATGTTTATAATTAAATTTCTTATAAATGATTTTTGTATAGAATTATCTCATGGAAATATGAGTAGAATAATATGATTAATACTTTAGATTAGGTATGGTCCTGATGGATTTTTATTTTTTTGTGTTTTTGTAATTGTAATAAATATGTATAATACAGTTGGATGATTAATATCTATCATTGGATTATAGTTAAAATATTTTTCTTAATTAGGTAAGATTAAATGTGTAGTTGATTGAGTTATATTAATAATAGTATTTGTGTGTTTTTTCTTGATTTTAAATATATATAATAAAGTTGGATAATTAATATCTATCATTAGATTATAGTTAAAATATTTTTCTTAATTAGGTAAGATTAAGTATGTAGTTGATTAAGTTATATTAATAATAGTATTTTTGTGTTGTTTTTTTGTTTTTTGTTTTTTTTTTTGAGAAATGGGCTTATAGTGTAGTGGCTTAATACTAAGTTTGTATTTCTAGTAGAGTTTAAATGAGTTAAATTACTATTATTATATTTGATTAGTCTATTTTAGTAAAAAGGTATCTAATTTTTGTTTTTTGTTATATTCTTTTTATTATTATAATGGAGTTAGATAATGTAGTTAAAGTATTTTTCTTAAATAAATGAACCGAATAAATGATTGATTAAGCTATTTTAATTCTAGTGTTTTTTTTTTGTCTTTTTTTTTTTTTTTTTTTTTATGAGCTTATGGTGTAGTGATATAATTAACGCTTGAATTCTTAATATATAATGGATACAATTAACTTATGGAATGTTGAGTAATTTATAATATAGTTAATAAAGTATTTTTCTTAAATAGATAAAGTGAATAAATGATTGATTAAGCTATTTTAATTCTAGTGTTTTTTGTGTTTTTTTTTTTTTTTTTTATATGGACTTATGATGTAGTGCTTAAATTCTTAATATATAATGGATAAAATTAACTTGTGGAATGGTGAGTAATTTATAATTTAGTTAATAAAGTATTTTTCTTAAATAGATAAATTGAATAAATGATTGATTAAGCTATTTTAATTCTAGTGTTTTCTTTTTTTGTGTTTTTTTTGTAATGTTTTTATGTAGTTGATTTATGATGCTTATTGAGCAGCAGATTAATATGATTCTTATGTGTTAATACTTAATTTAGTAAATTCTTATAATTTCTTTTTTTTTGTTCTTATGTTGATATAGGAACTTGTTAAATATGTATACTGTTATGTGGCAACACTGTTTCACTGAAAATCTATATTGTTAGGTTACGATGTATGTTGTCTTGTCACTATAAGTCGTAACTCGTAAGCATGTGTTTCAATAAAAAAGTTAAAATGTACTTGTGTATCTATATTCCTTAACGACCTTAACCCAACTGCATCCTAAAAGACATAACATATACCTATAACTTATGTTAAATTGTTGTGATATTTACATTAATTTATGAATAATTAAAAAAAAAAAAAAATATTTAATTTGTATTGATTCAAAATATTAGTTCGTATGCATATCGCATATTTCCACTATGTGATATGGTACCTTTGTAGTATCGTCTTTTAGATGGTAAGAAACTTGTTTTTGTCGTGAGTAATGGTAATCATTAGTATGTCCCCAGGCCCGTACTGGCTACCTTTAAGGGGCGCGGGAAAAATATATTTATAGGGCGCCTACTATAATTTTAAATATACCACTTCAAAAGAAAAAATTAGTGTCTATAATCATAATGTCTACCTATGATTGTTTTGTTTAGAAAATTGAAACTACCACCTGAAGATGTTAAACACAAATTATGATTTATTCTGCGATTTTTAACAAAATTAAAATTAAAATAATATGTTTCATAGTATTTTATTCAGTTTTTTTTCCATAGTAGGTAAGTTGTTTTAACAACTAAGAAAATAAACTGTGCAGTTACTTTTAAAATTTAATTTAATTTATATTTAATATAAAAACATAAACCGTAACAGCTTTTTAAACAATCTAAATAAAGTACACAAACTTAAGAATTAACTTATATCTTTTTATGTGAGTAGACGTTGCATTTTTTTACTGTTCAAACATAGAGCATTTATGATTTGATCTCCGTCAACTTGATTTACTATGTCTCTTTCACACTGCATTAAGAATAATGATTCTAAATTTTCTTGTACAATAGTGGACCTTAATCGCGTTTTTAATAATTTTAATTTTGAAAATGACCTTTCACAGGTCACTTGTGTCAGAGGCAGAGTCAATAAATATTTATACGCTTTGTACAATTCCGTGTATTGTAAGGAATACATGTTATAATCAGTGATTATACGCAATGCGCATGATAGACATGCATTACACTCTTTCACTTTACTACACTTTAACTCGTCCTCGTTAGCCCATTCATCATCATCAACGGTATCGATTTGACTTGAATCTTCATACGTACTCTGTAAACCAACTTTACAAATTAAAGGCCAAGATGTAGCAAAATAAATAAGTTCTTCTTTGAGCTTTGGCTGATCAATAGAGGGTAACAGTTCACATATTTTAAATAAAGCATTAGATGGTAAACCATTTTTTCTTATATCATCAAACCTTTGAGGATCGAAACATTCTAAATCTGTGTATAAGATCCGATGAGCTAAAAATCGTACCTCTAAACTATTTATAATAGTATCCATTGTAAAATTAAATATTTTTATACAAGATTGATCGATTTCTTCTGTGGAAACTTCTTCATCTCGGGTTAATTCACCGTCCATACGTTTCACAGTGCGTTTGCGTTTCTTCTTAAGGTTTTCTTCTATTTCAATTTCAATATCCTTTTCATACATTTTTTTAACTGCAAAGTCTACGAATGTTTTAGCAACTTTTGTTATATCACAAAAACGGTTTCTAACCGATTGTAAGCTTTTATGGGCACTAGAAACATGACGCCAGGCTTGAATGTAATATAGATTTTTTGTTTGAAGGTAATCGGATAGCGGTGTTGTTATTTTAAATATCTGCAGAAACATCATTGCGACTAAAACGGTTTCATAAGAGCAAAACTTTTTCATTAAACTAAGACTGTCGTTTCTAATTTTTGAATTAAATTGGTTAGAAATTGATATTTCGTATAGAGCTACTAACAGTTGAATGTAAACAAATTTTGACTCATTTTCTGGACTTAAACCCCCTTTAATCCAAAAATCAATCCAACCAAATATTTTAACGATTGCGTCATTTCTGCTTCTCCACCTAGTTGCTACACTAGCAGCTAGTTTTAGCGATGGATTTTCTTTATGGTACACAGCTAACCTTTTATAGGATTCCTTAAAAAATACGAATGACTTTTGAACAAGATTAAAAAATGACATACAAGGAGTCAAACATTGAGTTGTATCAGAAAGAACTAAATTTAACACATGCGCATAGCACCATGTATGAACATGATTAGCGATTACTTCAGACAATTTAGCGGTTACACCATTGTAATGACCACTCATGTTAGCCGCGCCATCAAAAGCGTTCGCCACACAATTATTCAGTGGTAAATCAAGTTCAGCCAATGTATCCTTTAAAGTTTCAAAAAGTGAATTCCCAGACGTCGAAGTTACGTGTTTCAGCCCTATTAACCGTTCACATACTTCATTATGTGGTACATATCTAAGGACAATCGAGCATTGATCATATGATGATAAATCCATTGTTGTATCCATCATAACAGAAAATATTTTGGCTTTTTTAACTTCTCTTGAGATCATATTTTTAATTTCTTTACCAATCAACTTTATTATTGTAGTTACTGTAGTTGCACTGAGAAATTTAACTAGATTTCCTCTTCCAATTTTAGTAGTGGTCTTCAATGCTTTCATATTTATATTTTGTGCTCTATCATGATGCTCCTTACTTAATTTAATCGATTTTTCTATGTGAGATTTCGACAATAATAAAATGATTTCCAAGAAATTGCCATGGTTTAACGAGGAATCATCTAATTTATAAGCTGCTTCACTTTTGTCGCCTCTAAATGGTAATCCTTGCTTACCTATTAATTTTATGACTTCAATAATCTGCAATAGTACACATCGTCTTTCATTAACTTCAATTTTTCTTTTTTGCAATTGTTCACCACACGATAAATGTTGAACCGTCTTTTCCCTTTTTTCTCTGATGTATGCTTTGACCGATGAATTATGATGTTTTGATATTTCGTGTTCTTTAATTCGTTGACTTGTATGTTTCCAGTCATTGAATCCAGAGCAAAACTTAGAACTTCCATCGCTATAAGCTAAGCATACACTACAAAAGAGCTTCTGATTGTTTTCATCATATGTCAACCATTTACAATTAAATTTACAATCCCATTGGTCACTAAAAATATGTTTTCATTAAATGGTAAAGAAATTAATGAAGAATTGGTTGGTTGAATTGGATGAAAAATAAAAAAGTTGACTATATCAATACTTTTCGGCTTACAA